TCTACAAGAGCGTTCCCGTATATGGTACTTTACAGGAGTACTCATTTGAAGAGCGCTCTCGTATATTACTTTTATTTTTTTTAAATCAATTTTTTTTAAATTTCTCATTTTACATCTCTTTAACAATGACAAATCATAATATCAAAAACTAATTTAAAAATAATATTAACATAAAAATTTATATACAAGAAAAGAATTTGAAACTGATACAACAATTTCAATTTTCTAACTAACCTAGTTTAATTTTTAACAAGCCTAACAAATGAAACTATTGTTATTTTTCTAACATTGAAATCTAACTTCCTATCACAAACAGCCAATAATATATTCTAACCACTCTTCAACTAAATCTTCTATTTGTTTCATAGTGAAATGCGAATATCTTGCTTCAACAAAATATTACACAAGATATAAAAGCAATATATAAGTAATTAATATTATATAACTTAATTTCAAAACTTTTGACTTACATTTTTAGGAATGATCTTCAATCGTCGGTAATGATGTGTTTGTGGCAAAAATCGTCGATGACCAATGAAGACATTCTTCCTACAATGTTCCAATCACACTGAATACTGTATCGTGATAAATGCAAATTCAATGAATTTATCCACACCATCCCAATATTCTCTTGATAATCGATTAGCCGATATTCACTTATGATCCATATCACTAATATGATTATCAAAATTTAATAAACAAAAGACTTAGATTTCTATAAAAAAAATTCAACAGCATCTTTCTTAAAAGAAGAACCTCTCAAATGATCAAACAATCAAATTTCACAACACAATATATTTAAACTAAAAAAAATTAATTCATCCAAATGAAAATTAGAAGTATATTTCATAAATAAAATAAAAATGTTCAAGTAGTTTCCTCAACTTTAATCTAAATTATCAACTACAAATACTTCATCGAATATAAATAACTTCAATTCATATATTATCTATAATATTAATTATTAAAAAAATATATATGAAATTTATTCTCAAATATATATCAACATATCAATATATTACATTATAAATTAATTATTAAAAAAATACCTTCACAGTGTAGTCTTCACGACAGCAGCAACACATGGCGGCAACAGAGGTCTTCACGGCATCACTTCCTTCAGTGTACAGCAGCGATACAGATCTGGAACAGCAATACAGATTTAGAATAGAGATGCAGATCTGGAATAGTGACAGCAGTGGATGACTTTCTGGAACAGAGAACAGCGACGGCAGTGCAGAAACAGCAAACAACGATGGCGTGAACAGCAAACAGCGATGGATGAAATAGCGAGGCACGATGGATGAGAACAGCGACGAAAAAAACAGGAGGCCTCAACAAATGAGAGAGAGGTTTTGAAAGAATCTCATGAATGAGGAAAAGAAAACTGACGGGGATGGAAAAATAAAAATGTGAAACTACTATTCCAGAGCGCTCTTTAGTGAGCGCTCTGGAAGAGCTCCTTGGCTTCAAACAAGCGCTCCAAAAGAGTGCCTTCTTCTGAAGCGCTTACCTACGAGTACTCCCGAAGGTCTTTTTAAATTTTTGATATTTTATTTATATTAATTAAGAGCGTTATCTTATTGAGAAGCCCTGACATACAGGAGCACTTATTTAGAAAAGTGCTCCAGTAAATTCTGCATTTACATTTTAGAGCGCTTTTTAAAGAAGCACTTCTAAATACCCGCTCCTAAACTTATTTAACAAGTTTTATTTTGGCCATGATCTTATTTATCAAGTTAGACGTTTCAATTGATCTTTCTTTTGGAGGGGTTCTTGACTTAAAGTTTAAACACTTAAAATTTAAAATTTACCATCAACAAAGCCACTCCTCCCTTTCACCCAATTTTTAAAAGTGAGACCGGACGTGAAATTAAAAACTCAATGAACCTAATTTTTTATGGTTTAATCAATTAGATTAGATTAGAGAGGTGAAAATTGATGATGAGATTATTAAATAAAAATAATATTTAAATATATATAAAAAAATAAATTCATAATATATATATATATAGTTGTTTAAACAATATGACATAAATCAATAACATTATATAAGTGTCATTATGCGTTTGTTAAAAAAATGATTTCATAATGTAGGTGTCAACATCTTCTTTGAGAAAAAAAAAATCTGCATTTGAATTTTAGTTGCCAATGTTTTCTTTAAAAAAAAATCTCAAATAATATTATTATGTGAAGGATTTAAAATAATGAAGTGGCATTTTGAAGGGTCCATTTTTTGAATTTCAATGATTTTCAGCCCTTTTAAAAATCAGGTTTAGACTTGCTAGATTTTTGAAAATTGTTCAAAGTTTCAACTCAATTTCAAATTTTGGTCTAACTTAATTCAATTATGAAAATAATTTTTTAGTCTAAATAGTGCTAATAGTGAGTCTACTTGATAGTATCAAGTTTTTTTTTTAAAAACAAATTTTACTTCTCCAGTCCTATTTGTCTGCTAGATAGAGAGTTTTTTTTTATAATAAAATTAATGGATTCAAAATACATTTAACTTACACCAAAAGAGTTAGGTTTATCTTGAACACTTTCATCATCCACCTCCTCTTGGGGAATGAGTGGAGGATGATTAAAGGTACAAAAGTTAACATTTAAGTTGTGAGATAGTTTAACTAAATAGTCAGCATATACATTTAAACATCTATCAACATGATGAACAATCACGCTCCATTCTCTATGACATATAAGAGAAGCGTCATTAATAATCTTCTTAAAAGGATGGGACTCATTAGAACCTTTAATAGTTAGCATAACAGCTTCAACACAATCATAGTAAACATCCACAATGAACAAACTCTTGTTTCAGCATATGGTAAATCCCTCGATAATAGCAAGAAGCTTTGCAATCATAGGTGGTACATTAATGAGTTTACAATTAAAACCTTGAACCCAAATACCTTGTTTATCCTAAACCGAACTTCCACATCTACTGCTTCCATTACTTAGCATAGACATATCAACTTCTAGCTTAAAAGCATCAATTCTTTTCATAGCATTATTGATTGGTCGTTTTCTATCATAAAAAAGGAAAGGTGCCATCTTATGTAGATTTAAATCCAAACAAGCTCTAAAGAAACTAGAGTGAGCTGTGGGATGAGATTGGGGATGATGATCATCAAGAGCTTTCTTGTATCGATCCACCCATATATCTCAACAAATATACCCAAGTAGAATAGCCCAATTCACCTTTTTAGTAAAGTTCTTGCCTACTTCATTCTTCATATTCCACTTGAGCCAATCCACCAAGTAAGGTTAGTGAATGAATTCCAACTTTCCTCTCTGACAAAAGCTTTCCACCTATCTAATGTGTTTAGACAATCACGGTTAAGGTGCATTGGGTCTTTAATAGTTTTACAACCAAAGGGACAATTCCCCTCAATTACCAAGCCTCTCTTCATCCTTATTTCTTATGTATGAGTCCTTCCATCTGCAAAGAACCACATGAAAGATTTTATGTTATTTGAGACAAGACACCTCCACAACATCTTTTAGATAGGAAACTGTATTCAGTTGGAACGAAGAGCTAGGTTTTTTTGTATTCCATTGTCCTAATTGATTCACATAGTTTGAGACTTTCTTATTTTTATTTATAAATTCTTCTCGACTAGTAACCAATTCAATAAGAGTATTTATTTTGATCTATGACACCTTTATAATTTTTGTATTTTTCTTTTCAGCCTTTTGTCTTTATTAAACGTTAGAATATTTTATTTTTAAAGTATGTATATATATGTAATATTTAGTAGGGGTAAAATTGAGAAATTTAAATCAACATTTTTTAAATATTGTTTCTCCATTTTATCCTTGTTTACTTTAATAATTTTAAAGGAAGGGGAAAATCCATAAAAATAAATTGGGGATAATTTTACTTATTTACTACCTTTCTTATATTATACTACATCCATTTTAAATTATAAGATATCTTTAAAAGAGATTGAATTTTTTAAAATATAAAACATGAATTTATTAATAATACTTTTTTTATTATATTCTCTTTTTTCAATATACTTTTATAAATGTAGTATTAAATAAAGGTTATTTTTAAAAATTAATATTTTTATTTCAAAAAATAAAGTTGTAAAATATATTTGATAAATTTTATTGATATATATGATTTTACTTAAAAATATTTTATAATTTGGCACCTCATAGTATGTTTTTTTTTTTAAGAAAAGTTTGAATTAAGAAAAAAATTTAGCTAAATCTCATAAACCTAATAGTCTATATTAAGATTGCACAAAGGATTAGACAATACTGAACTTTAATCTAACTCATAGTTTGGTCTCTTTCATGAAAATGACTAGATTAGGCAACTCGTAATTCAGTCTTGTCCAATGATAACCCGAAGATTAATAGGACAGAACTTGATCTATAAGACTGAAAGACTGGTCCTGTTAGTCTAGTATTTAATTAGCTTTTTTTTGTTCTTTTTTCTCTATGAAAGGAAATAATTTATTTCAACCTAATAAACTCAATTAAGATAATAAAAACACTTATAATAATAATAAATCTATAATAATTTTCAACAATAAAAAAATATTTCTGTTATAGTTTAAATGATTTAAATTTATAATTTCAACAAAAACATTCAACAACTTCAACAACACTATATTACAATAATAGTTTAAAAAGAAACTCAACAAATCTTTATACAATATCTCTTTAGCATTAATTACACTTGAAACATTTATTAAAATAAATTAATTATAATTATATGAAATAAATTAATAGGACCGGACTGACTAAATGGTCTAACTGCTCAGTCTCCTGTTCAGTTTAACTTAAAAAAATAGTATTTTTTTTTAATTTTTTAAATTTTGAAAGGCTAGTGCTTATGTTAATCAAACATGACTAGACTATATTGGATTGAATTGGATCAGACGACTTTGCACAGCACTAGTCCATGTAATTTGGTCCGGCTTTGGACTGGTAAGAGGAAAAAATAAAAATAAAAATTGAGAGGTACAATAAATGGGGAAGAGAGGCAGAAGATCACCCGAGTGGGTCAGAGGCACTCGCTATGCGTAGGCAAATCCATGTGCCCACATGGATGATTGGAGAGGAAGTAGCAAATTTGGGGAGAGAAATAGGAAGAAGATGAACAATCACTGCATCAACGACAATCCATACACCCATGCCGTATCTGGCGAATAATTAAATCATATAGCTTACAGCCAAATCATTGGTCTCTGTTTCCCATAGAACAAGAGAGAGAGAGTGAGCGAGCAAGAGGGTGAATAAGGAGAAGAAGGAGCGAAGATGAAGGAGGTGAGTGATGGGTTTGTGAGGGCGGATCAGATTGATCTGAAGAGCATAGATGAACAGCTGGAGAGGCATCTGAACAAGGCATTGACTTTGGAGAAGCACAAGACAAAAGAGGAAGATGTTCCTGCGATTACTATCGGCGCTACTGCCATTAAAAGTCTAAGTGGTGGCGGCGGAGCTACGTTCAAGAGGCAAAGACAGGAGTGGGAGATTGACCCTTCGAAGCTAATCATCAAGAGTGTTATAGCTCGCGGTACTTTCGGCACCGTTCATCGTGGTATCTATGATGGCCAAGATGTCGCCGGTTAGTCTTAAATTCACCGCCTTCTGTATAATTCTGATCTTTGGATAATATATGTTCTTTTCATTTCCCCCGTTTCACGAGCTTATTATCCCCATCCCTGTTGATGACTCTGAATTTTCTGAAGGAGGAGTTGATATTATATTTGATTTATTGATGGGCCGTTTTAAATCCAGTATCATACACGGTCAGCAAACAAAATCCATTATTTTGCTATCTGGGAGTGATGAACGGAAACAGCAATGACTTGAATGATGCTTTGTATCTGAATTTTTGTTGATCCCATCGGGCCTTTGGCCTGGGGCCTTGTTGATGAAGTGGATGTAGAAATGTTATTGTTGAAGCTAAGGCCTAAATTTTTTAAGCGAGAATTTTGTTTGCTTGGTTATTGTTGCATGTGAATGAGTGGGATGCTTCGCTACATTTAACTGACAGCGATTATTTTGATTACTCCCTCAATGCTTAGTTAAAATGTTGGATTGGGGTGAAGAAGGCCACAGGACAGATGCTGAAATTGCTTCATTAAGAGCAGCGTTTACACAAGAAGTTGCTGTTTGGCATAAACTTGACCATCCTAATGTCACTAAGGTTAGTTTCAGCTTCTGGAACCTTGACTTCTCTTCCTTCCATTGTTATTGTTCTTATCAAATGAGCTTCTGAATTTTAGTATACCATATACTTGTATCTTTTACTGGTATTTACTGCTTCCGTAGAATGGCCGAAACCGGTAATTTTTTTTTCTATTCTGAGGATGGAAATGGTCAAGGTAGTATGCCATCTTCGTAATAGCATTCATTGTTTCTGCTTGAAATAGTGATGCTATTTAAGTATTTACTTGTGAGTCTGTTCTCTTGGGATCCTAGAACCTCACTGTCTTTGTCCATCCCTTTTGCTGTGACAAAAGATGCTTGTAGATATCTACTCAAAAAAGAAGAAGAAAAGATGCTTGTGGATATAGAGAACAATGCTTACCATAATGCCTCCTTCCTCTTCCTTTTCATGACATTTTCTGTTTCATCTTGCAATTACTTGCAGCCATACACACTCGTATATAATCAAGGGGTGTCATACCTTCATATGGATGTTAACAATGATCTCTTTGCATGTTTAGTTTATAGGTGCAACCACGGGGTTGTCAGAATTACAGATACAAACTGAAAATGGTCTAATCACCATGCCAGGCAATGCCTGTTGCGTTGTTGTGGAGTATCTTCCTGGGGGTCTAAAAACTTTCCTGATAAAAAACAGGAGAAAGAAATTGCCATTCAAGGTTGTCATCCAGCTGGCGCTTGATCTTGCTAGAGGGTATTGACCTATTTCTGATTTTTCCCCTTTTGTGGTGTAGCTTGCTGAGCAATAATTGTCTCACTAATTGTTCAGTTATCAACTCAACTTTAACTGGCTCTATTTTGCAGGCTGAGTTATCTTCACTCTGAAAAGATTGTCCACAGAGATGTAAAGACAGAGAACATGCTGCTGGACAAGAAAGGTACGGTCAAAATCGCTGATTTTGGGGTTGCACGGGTTGAGGCTTCAAATCCTAATGACATGACTGGGGAAACTGGTACTCTTGGATATATGGCTCCAGAGGTATGTAGAAACCTTTGCAGTATAGCTTTTGGTATGTTGCATTGTGCCAATATGCATTGTATTGGTAGCTTTAATGTGACAACAGGCAAGTAGCATGCCAAAAAGAAAAGCAAGGAGTTTTAAAGTTGATCAAAGAGATAGCTCATCATATTATAGATTAAATATTCACTTACTGTCCAATGGGTGGATTACAGGTTTTAAATGGCAACCCCTATAACAGGAAGTGTGATGTGTACAGTTTTGGCATCTGTTTGTGGGAGATATATTGTTGTGACATGCCGTATCCAGACCTAAGTTTTGCAGAGGTTACTGCAGCTGTTGTTCGCCAGGTAGAATGTCTTATATGTTTTCATAGATTCTTGTATCTGGATCTTTGTAAAACAGAAAATCCAATTCTAATTAAAGTTTTTTGTTGAAACGGTAGAACCTGAGACCTGACATACCAAGATGCTGCCCCAGTTCTCTAGCAAATGTGATGAAGAGATGTTGGGATGCCAACCCTGATAAGCGACCTGAGATGGATGAGGTAGTTTCCATGTTAGAGGCCATTGACACATCAAAAGGTGGAGGTATGATCCCTGTTGATCAGCAACAAGGTTGTCTTTGCTTCCGCAAGTACAGAGGGCCATAAAGCTTTCATTCTTTGGTGCGAAACAGCGATCGGGCCATTATGATTTTTCATTGTTCAAACAATTAGTATGTATCTATGGTGAGAGAATACATAATTTAAAAACCAGAGCAGTATACAGTGGACTGGGAGGGTATAATCGTTATAGGAAGGAGAAACTGGTGACATGTCAATTCATTGGATGTGTAAGTCATACCGCTTTTTCTTTCATTCTCACATATGTTTGGGTTTTGTGGGTATGGCCATTATTAATTTCCGCTTGACATTGTTGCTGTACTGGCCTTGTTAACACTCATGGAAGATCTGCATCATAGCGTTTCCAGCATGATTGCTGTGATTAAATTAAAGTCTGTCTGATAAGTATACTCTTCTTTCAGATTCAGTATGCAAGAGAGGGTGATGTACTTTCGCAGAAATTTGGATTTTAATTTTTATATATTTTCAAAATAAGGCTGATAGTGGATCAAGATTAAGTCATGAAGATGACTTTGGTGTGATGGAACCTTGATCCTATTTTCTGAGGCGGTTGTGGAAGTTTTATCCGTAAAGAAAGAGGGGATGTTGGAGGAATGAGAAACTCGGAAAAGCATTTGAAAGCGAAGTGAATGGTAGAAAAGTAGAAAACGATGCAGACAAGGGACAAAATAAAAACTGTATAATTGCTTGGATTTAATTTATAGCCATTCATTTTGTCTGCTGTGCGCGCTTTTTTTCTTAGCATCCAAACAGAAGTGAGTAGACTGTGAACCCCAATGTGGGTCGTTGGGATGAAGGAGGTGACAAGTGCTCTAATCCAGAATGAAAATTCTGGCGTGCCACTTGGAATCAAGTTTGAGTTACGTCGCCGACTTACTCTCTCATTTTTATGATTATTCACATATTCCTCAAATTATTCACACTACAGTCCCATCTTTCCTATAAACCTTCATGCAATTCATATTCATATTTTCTTCCAAGACTTCACACTTCTATCTCAAATTACACGTGCATTTTTTGTTATTTAATCTTTTCTTTTAAAAAAATTGTGTTACTTTGTGAATTATCCTTCTATTTCAATTCAAAGGAATATATTTTAATTCATTATCTTGCCTTCTCTAGTTCTCCTAGCTTTTGAACTTCCAAGCAAGGATGGAGACAGAGGACCAGCAGTGGCCCCCCTAACATTTCAATTTTTTTTAATATAATAGGTTATATATTTTTGTCCTCATAAATTAATACATTATAGAATCTTTAAAATATTAAATAGAATTTTCATTTTAATTTTATAGTAGTTTTTTATATATATATAATGCAACTGTTTTAATAGTTTGAAGATGTAATTATTATAGAATTTATTTATTTTCAACAAGATAATGTTTCAATTACTTTTAAAGCATTGACATCATTTGATTTTTCTTTAATTTTATATTTAATAAAAGAAATTATGAGAATTATTACTATCAAACATTATCAGGCATTGCAACAAAAATTTTAAGATATATTAAATGTTATATACTTGATATCTATTGGAAAATCACTTTTTTAAAAGCTATGATGTTACGGTTAAGATATATTCTTCTTAAAAAAATTACTTTTTTTTTTGTAATAACTAGGTTATTGAAATTTATTATATGAATAATTTGTACTATGATATACTTAGATCTCATCGATATAAAGAATTTGTAACAATTATTTTTTAACTGAAAAAAATTGTGACAATTGAGCAGCATCTTTACTGTGTTGATATATTTATTCACTACAATTATCAATTGAAAAAATTAAATAGTAAATTTAGCAAATAAGTAGTAGAGTTTTTTTATATGAAATAGAACTTTAGATTTCAAGGATGCATTTAGATTATTCAATGTTCTTGAGAAAGATGAAATCTTTGCCAATTAAATGATAGTTTATATTAAGAAAAAAATTGTTAAAAATTGTATCATAGACATGATAATTAATTATTCTTATCCCATAAAAAAATAATGAGCAAAACTTAAAAAAATGAAGGTATGTAATTATTTTTATCATACATATATAAAATTGAATATAAATATATGCATTGAAATATTTATATTATATTAATGATAGATATAGATTTAATTTGTTTTGATTATTATATATATTTTGTTATCCCAGCCTTCTTAATAAAATTTTCTAGGTCCGCCCCTGCTTCCAAGTTTGTTCATTAAAAATGTCGGATGACTTTTTTTTTAAACAAATAAAATTTTATTTTTGTTTGCTTCACATCACCACCACCATTATGATCATCGTGGTTGTGGACTAGACCATTAAGTCAATCAAGTGCTAAAGTGGGACAAATGTGTTTACAACAATAAAGAAAAGGAAAATTGTGATGAATATTTCTAAAATGAATTTAATTTAATTCCTTAAACGGAGTGTAAATGTTATTGCATAGCAATTTTGGAGGGAATTGAGAACTAAAAATACGATATGGCAGCAAATAATTTTGAAGGGAATGAATATTCACGGATTGGGTTGGGTTTGACTCTACCCTGTGAATACCCCTTGGTAGGTTTTGGCTACATTTTTTTAAAAAATAAAATGCACAGACACACATATATAAAGTATATTTCTCCAATAGGCTGTTTGTTGAATCCATGACAAATATTAATGCCAAAAACAAAAAAAGGGTTGGATCCATGAGAAGGGAATGAAAAGTCTAGAGTATGTAAGTTCCTAAAGCAGAAGCCCAAACGGTGAGTCCTAAACCCAATGGGCTCATCATTTTCCGTTAACAGAGTTTACATTGTGCATTTCTGAAAATTGGAACACATGTGAAATTGAGAATAAGTGTTTCACTTGTATCAAAAAAAGAGAATTGAAGTCTTACTCTGGTAAACAAACCACGAGAAATAAGATATGAATCTAAATTCACGCCACTGCTTAAATCGTTTATTTCAAACCAGCAAATTGGAAAGAATACAACAGGAGGATGAATTTAGCTCCTTGAAGAAAAACATGAGCTAATTTCACAAATTCCCTTCCGTCATAAAGAACCAAGAATAGAAGCAAAATTTTGTCAGAGTATGTACATGAGCAAATGGAAGCCTTTTCAATTTCTACCTAACAAATCAATAACGTCAAGTGTTTGCTGTGGAGCAACCGAAGAAGTTGGTTTCTCGTTAAATTGCTGTAAAATCCTCATGAGAAAGCGAGCTTTCTTTGCCGCTCGACTGGTCCCATCCGTGAGAAGCGAATACAAGGAAGCCATTATCGACACGTCCTTCGCCATCAAACCGATCACATCTTCTCCTCCGTTCACGCACAGAGATAGAAGAATCGAAACGCAGTGTTCTTTCCCTACTTTCCTCGTTGTCGATTTCATTATCCCTGTGATCAAAGGCAGGGCCGACACTTTCAGCATAGCTTCTGCTCCTTCACTGTTCTCTGCTAGAGCCGCAAGAACTGCTAACGAATCTGTCGTCACGTCATCCTTCTCTGAGGAAGCTAAGATATCAACAAGCACCGGAACAGTATTGGCTTCAAGTACTCTTTTATGGTTACTTGCGAGTACGAGAAGCCCGAATAACGCGACCATGGCATTCTTCTTTCCGCATGCTGTTCCTTCCTTCATCAGCTCAACTAGAGAAGGAATTACCTCCGCGTTTTCTCCTATTAATCTTCTGTGTTGCTTTGCTAGATAGAATATGATAGCTGCTGCGGTCTGGCGCGATTCTGGGCTTAATCCGTTCTTGAGAACCGTAACTATTGGCTTTAAGCCTCCGTTTTCAATTATAGCTTCCTTGCCATTGTTATGCTTTGAGAGCTTCAGCAGAGCAGCAATGGCGTTCTCTTGCGTCGATTTGTCTCTCGTGGACAGAAGGAAGAGCAAAGGGGACACTGTTCCCACTTGGATCAGACACGACCGGTTGAAAATGTTGGATCTTGCGAGCAAACGAATCTCATATGATGCTTTGTTCTTCTCGTCCATTGTTCCAAATACGAGCCTCCGAGCGAGAAACCACGACAGAAACTGCGTGGCGTGCGCTGCTGCAGGGCTTCCCGGGACGGTGGTATTCGCTATATCGCGACCTGGATTGTTTAATTTGGTCAGAGAAACGCCATTGTCGACGCAGAATTGTTGTATCAGCTTTCGGAGCGTTGTGTTCGGGATTAAGTCTGTGTTCTTTAGCTTTGCCCCTGTTTTGGGGCAGATTTTGTTCCCTGATTTCAGCCATTGTTGTATAGAAGTTCGATCGTAGGTCTGACCTGTTGATACAGTTACTGGATCTTTCATTAGCTCGAGCGAAATTGGGCACCGGAAATCCTCTGGGTTTATGCATTTAATCGTCTCTGTACTACACCTTCCTTCAGAGGAATCTGAGGGGTTGCGAGAATCCAGAGTTTCGAATATCACTCCTCTGCAATAGCTCAAGAATCCGATCAAACTACTCAGAAACGGAACCTCGCGCTCGTCGCATTCAGAATACTGGAAATCCATTTCATCTTGTAAAAATTCGATCTCATTATTACAATCAGTCCAACTCTTTATGTCTAGATAATCTAAAACTCGCTTAATGTCAGCTAAGGCAGGTTCAATTCCCTTCTCAAACTGACGCAAAATTGAATGAACAAGTTTTGAATTCTCTTCGTCCTCAGGGTCAACTTCGAATTTCACCTTCCGAGCTTGGTTGGCTACTAGTTCCACCAATTCCTTCACCTCACCACAAACCTCAATCCGATGCAGAGGCAATACGTCAAGAGCAGTGGCAAGCCCACGAATCAGAACCCGAAATTGGGAGGCAACGTATTGTAATTTCATGAGCATCCATAACCTGGCACCCTTACGAGTACAATCTTGAAGCAAGAACAGAATCTTCTGGAAGCTATAGTGGAGCTCGGAGAAGCAGAGAACAGGGGATTGTTGTGGGATTTCTGGAAGTTCCTGGAGAAAGATAAGGATAATACCGACCTGGCGTATGGCTTCTCTGGCATTCCGTCGCTGAGTGGGGAAGAGCCTGCATTGAAAGTTACAGACATCGAGGGAGAGAGAAACCAAAGACGTGAGAAGAGTGGCGGGAGAGATGTCTTGGCATGGGAATACAGCTGGAGAAGAGAGAAGACGACGATGGTCGTGATTGGAGTAACGAGTCATTTGGGGAATGAAACAGAGGAAAGTGATTTTGTTTGCCTAGGGCTGAATCTATTGACTGTGGATATCATGCAGAGAAAGAGCGAGGGGCAGAGGAGTTGAGATGCTATTATTATAGGAGGCTTGGCTGACTGGGAAATCTAGGCAACACGTGGCACGCTGTCGAGACAGAAACAGGTTGCTTCGAGTACGAAGTGTTGAATTGGACAATGAGGGATGCCGCAGCCAGAAGTGGACACGTGGGTGCTCTGCTGGATATGAACGTACAACCTCCAATCCAAACGTATCATCTGGCCAAGTCAAAAAATATCCTTTCACCGAGTCAAAAAAAAAAAAAAAGAGAAAAATCTATTCTATTAATATATATTATCTATCAAAATTTTTTCTATTGAGATTCATAAATATATTTTATATTTGTTATATATTATTAAAATATTTATTAGTTACTAATATGTCACTTTTTTCATTTTCTTTATTTTTTTCTCAATTTTTTTAATGGTACTGGAGCCAAGTTTGTTTAAGTTGAAGTTTTCTATAGTAAAACTTTGACCCTTTCTTTTTATTTTGCTTTTATAATTATTCAAGATTTCACCAAATAATTTATTTTACCTATTGTAAATTTTCATGAAGTTTGTCTTTTAGACAAAAAACAAAATATTTTATATTTTATAAAAATAATAAAATGACAAAAAATATTTAAAAACAGTTATCGTAAGTAAATACCAACCTTAAAGGATTTAAATTCTCTAAATCTAATCTCGTTCTCATTCTTTTGTTTTTACTTTTAATAAATAGAAAAAGCTCGTGCATTATAGGACTATTAAAATTTATACATGAGCCATAAAATTTCAGTATGATGTCAAATATATATGAAGTTTTGAGTGCCCTTGCGCTACAATGACACTAAACACTTTCATTAAAACATCTTTTAAATATGTGGCTTGGGCATGCTTATTTTGAGCTGTCATTAAAGATATCTTAAACACATCCATGTTGTTATTGAGCAGAGCATGATGTGGTGCACCGTGTTATGATATATTGATATGAAATGTTTTGATATCAGGAAAGAAGTCAGGAGAAAAATAAAGAAGACTAAAAAAAGTGTAGTTTTATATTGATATAAAAGGCTTCTGTCCTAATAATAATTAATGAAGATTTTAATAATATGTAACGAATATAAAATTTTTCTAAATTTTAACAGAATAAGTCTTAATAGATAATATGTATTAATCGAATAAATCATTATCTCAACAATAATTACATAATTCAATTAATTAGAATATTTATGCAAGATCAACCTCATCAAAACTTTTGATCAATTAGAATCAGGGCACCTGAATGTTCGAGATAACATAAAATTATTGATGGGATATAGAATTGATTAGGTTTAGAATATTTGTCTCATTAGAATGATATGTTAATTATATTATATTTGAATTAGGATTTGATTTAAATAAATGTAATTTTTTAATTATTTTAAAATATTTATATTTAATTCTTAGATATTTTAAAGGATAAATGAGTAAATTACTTCCTAAAATTTAAGTGAAATAGTACTATGAATCGTAAACTCATTTATTGCACAATTGTTCCTTTCACTTGTGAAATTGATGTAATTTAACTCTTATCATTCGCAAAAATTAACTTTAATTATTTTAATTATAAAATAACAAGAAATGACCTTTAAAATTATAGAAAAGAGCTAAAAAAATTACAATAAAGGACAAAAAAATTACAAACAGTGACTTAAAAATTACAGGAAATGACAAAAAAAATTAATTTTTTTTTTGTAATTTTTGAGGTCATTTGCTATCAATTTTTTAGTAACTAACCGTTAATATTAACTTTTATTAATAACAAATGTTAGATTGTATCATTTTTTAAAATTTGAAGAAATAATTTATATAATAAATAAGTTTATAGTGCTATTGGATTTAAAATTTAGAGAATAATTTGCTCATTTATCCTAATTCAAAAGACTTGCATTTACATTTCAAGATTAGTATTAGGATTAAGACTTATAAATAGACCTTAGTACTTCTATTTTGCGTTGTCTTGCCTTAAATGAAAATTGCATATTAAGTTTACCTCTCCATCGCGTTCTATATCTATAGTGCTTTCGTATCCTCTGTCCTCTCCTCTATACTCTTTGCTGCCTTTATCCTTCCCCCTGTTTTACACTTCTACTAGTTAAAAAAAATAATAATAATAAGTTGGTAAATGTACAATTTTGGAATATAATATATAATATGAAAATATTGAAATTATTTTAAAATAAATAATTTGGATCATTTAAAATTGAATTTACACAGTCAAGGATTGAATTTGACAAGATAGATGTTGCCGTTCAAAATTTAGTTCACGAAAAGAATTTGTTTAAATAATAAATTTCATTGCAAGTCATATATTTATGAGATTCCCAAACTAATTTCTTTTAAAAAAATAAATAATAATTTAGATATTTGAATGTGAATATAAAGTTTGGAGTGATTGAACCTAAATTGTGTAGAATTTGATTTTTATTTTGTGATGAAAGAAATTTGACACCCCTAATTTCATTCCACGTGCTATAAACACTTTCTTTTATTCCATAAATTTCTATGCCGATTCAAATTAAAAATTTAAAACACATGTTTTATTTTATAATTTTCACCCCATACTATGTAAACAATTTATTTTATTTTAAAATTGTTTGGCACATTAAAAAATAAACAAAAATTTTTTTACAGTACAAACTTGTTTTATTCCCACACAAATCATTTTAAATTTTTTCCCTAATGCATATTACGAATACAAACAATTTTTTTTAATTATGGGACGTGTTATCTCCATATAAATTAAAATTTAAAAGATAATGTGCAAATCAAAATTTAAATAATAACTTGTTCTGTCATATAATTTGTTACAACGGGCGTATTAAAAAAATTAAGTATATTTTATTTCAAAATTTATTGGTTCTTGCGTGCTGTGTGTTAGTTATTTTACCACTTCTGGTTTCTGAAACAAATTATTTAAAAACATAAATTAATAGATACTTTAAATGTAAATTTGACTGACAGGTTTGTCCTTGGCTAAGTTACCTGAATTTCTTTAAACAAAGTTTTTTCACTGACTTGAAATTTTTTTTTTTTTGGGCCACAAATGAGTGACAGTGATTGACATTGATTAAATAGAACTGGGGATTAAGAAAGAGATGGTGAAGGGGGGATAATGCTTGCCGACTTGGGAGAGAGTACAGCTGGGCCTATCAGGTCGCGACGTCTGCCTTCCCATGCAAGCGCGATCCCACAAAATGACCAAATTAAGCCTTAAACCAATTATCCAATGTAATACTCTCATTGTGTTTATCGTTCATTATTATTATTTTAATCAAGAGGCCTTCATCTTCATCATTACCCAAATGACTTCCACTTTTACTGCAACCTCTCTTGTTAGATAACTCCTGCCCCACCAATAAATCCATGCCACGCATCTCGTTCTTAACTTCCTCTCATCATTACCATGCTCATCAGCATATTCATTGGATTATTAGCATCCACTCACATTTTAACACTTCACCTGCTGTTTCCACGTATGATGATTTGCATGACCTAATTAAGAATAATTTTATTCTATTCACTTAGTATTTATTGACCTTTCAAGTATTGTTTGCCCTAATAACAAATAAAAAGAACTTTCGAGTAAAGTTTCTCCATTTTTATAGAGTTTTTATATATCCAGGAGGCCTGGATGAGCGATGTCTAATGACTAGTAACATAACATTTTATATTTATAATCTTAACGTCCATGGTATTTTAATATCTAACATCTTGATGCTCCTTTCATTTTGAATTATAAAATATTTTGAGATAAAATTTTACATATCAATAAATTTTGCTAAATAAATTTAATGACTTATTTTTTTAAAAAAAGAATATAAATTGTTAAAAATATCCTTCGTTTAATAACATTAAATATACACTTAATTAGTATTAAATAGAAAGAAAATGTAATATTAAAATAAGCCTATTTAATAAAATTTTAATTTTTTCAAAATGTTTTATGTTTTGAGGCACCAAATTTTTTTAAAAAATATCTTATAATTTGAGGCCCAGAAATTAATTAATTGTTTTGATTTAAATATTATGACATATATTCATTCACATTAAAGCCTTCTCTCAATTATAGCGAATCAGAGAAACAGAAGTCTACACGCAAAAACAAGAGAAGCATCATGTATGTCTGTTTTTGGCCAGATCATGTGTATGTCTCATGCTATGGAATACTATATAGTATTAAGTAATTGATGAATAAGTCAACATTATAAGTATAAGATATTGATATCGAACAGTCTTAAACTGAAATAGATATTTATGAAACCGATGAAGTGGAGATTTTCGGTTATTGGATTCGGGGTAAAAAAATTTAACGTTGATGGAGGAGTATCATGAGAGATTTAATTAGGGATAGTTGATTATAAAATGCACGTGAGCTTAGTCCTCTTAGGACACTGGAGGTGTGTGTCAGAAATTACGCCGAGTTCTCGTATGCGATTGCCAATTACTTCCTCTGGTGCTATAAGATGTTTAAGATATCTTTCACATGCTATAATAAAAATATTACATTATTGTTTTTTGTTAATTTTTATTAACTTTTAATTATAACTTCATTAAAAAACGCAGAGAAAAAGTTTAGATCACCTAGTTATCTGTGCAATAATTTTTCAAGGAAGGATAAAATAAAAAAAATTATCCTAACCTTTTGTTTAACATCTTATAATAAATGTCAGTTTTTATATATATTTACAAAGCATCTATAAATAGGACACGACTGGAGGGAGTGACAATTATATATGGAAAAGGAAGGTTGTCACATCAATGCATTAACGTATCTAATATTAGAGATTACCCAGTTTGATCATTTCCCACGAGCAGCTGCGAAGAAGAAGAACAAGAAGAAGACTCGTTTGTGGCGACGAATCAATATTGAATCTAATTTTGCTCCTTATTTTATATACGTGGACATGTCAAAAAATTCAAAAAGGTTGATGTGGACGGGAAAGCACGTGGACCAATCACGCAATGCCCAGTACAACGCGTTTCCGCCTGGCATCACGAATA